TGGTGGTGGTGGTTGTATGGGCTGAATGTCTCGAAGGCAAGAGATACTAGGTGGGAGGAAGGAGGAGAGCATTTTAGGCACCTGGAGTGGTATGAGCAAACTGCAGGAAATGGCATGGGGGACACAGGGCACACAAGGTAGGGAATGGAGGGTCCCACTTTGCAACTTAGTGAAGTCATTTCTGCTTGCTAGACTATTCATTGGAACAATGAAGGGTGAACAGAAAAGCAGTGTTCACAGTTGTTTTTGTGGTAAAATCCTCTGTTCAAATGAAACTGCCATGAAGGCCCAATGTGTAAGTGAGGAGGTATGTAAAAGAGAATTTTTTTTTCCTTAACAGGGAGCATATATGCCATTGTTTGGGAACATTTTTTGAAAAATCTTTGATGGTGATAAAGGGGCAGATTGTCACTTTGGGGTCTGAATTCGCACCAAGACCTTAAGAAGAGGACAAAGCTGCTTTGTCTGAGAGAGGGAGTAGCTCTTAGATAGTCCAGGAGGGCAAGAGAGAGTGGCCCAGTGAAATGGGGAAATATCCATGTGGCTCGGGCTATGGCCTCCCACTTCCACGTTTACCCACCCTCCAGTCCATTCTCCCTATATCAAAATCCAAAGTGGGTAATCCTTTGAAAAGGCAAAAGCCTCCAAATGCTCCCCTCACTCTCAGAAGGAACCCAAACTCATGATCATTGGCCTCCTAGGCTCTGCCCCTTCTGCCCCTTGGCTGCTGCCCAGACCTCACCTCTGGCAGGCTTCCCTCTCTTACACCAGCCACCCTGCCCCGCCCCTGCTGTTTCTAACTTCATCCCACACACTTCTTGCTTACATCTTTGGGGCTTGTCCTTTCTGCCTGGTCTACTCTTCACCCAAATATCCGTATTTCTCTCCATCACTTCAATCAGATCTTTTCACAAATGTTGCCTGAGCAGAGGGCCCACAGCACAGGAACAGCCTCTTCATCCCTCCTCATGCGCTCCCTCCGCTTTGCTTATTTCTTCATGGCATGTATCATGCAGTGACATGGTTGTTCATTTGTCATATTGCCCACACTGGAGGGCAAGTTCCTGGCAGGTATGATTTGACCCTCTTCCTTCATGTTATCTTTCCAGCATCTAGAATGGTGCCTCCTGTGTTGACTGAGTTGCTTTGCCAGTGGGGAGAGGAGATCACAAGAGAGGCTGAGATATCAGGAAGCTTTAGAAGAGTTTGGGCTTTCACTGCCTATAGGACTGGGGGTAGGGTGAGGTTTAAGGCAACTTCATCTGGATGTTAAGGGGCAGGTAGGCTCCCAGCTGCCATATGGGTTAACTGTAAAACAGATCAAGCCAGAGCTGACGAGGTGGAAGCAGAATGGGGCCTGGTGTCCCATCAACTTTCACCTTGTTCCTTCTGGCTCTTCAGGCACTGCATCTGAACAAACACTAGATGTACCAGTGTTAGCGACACAGTGGCCTTCCTCGTCTCTGGGACCCACAGAGGATGAACCCTGAGACTCCTTGCACCACAAGAGAGGCAAATCTTGCACTCTGGAGAGGGGACTGGAGACTTGTCTTGGGGAACCCAGGGACCAGTCTGCAGGCCTGGAGGAGACTCTGGATCTCTGCATAGGTGGGGTCAGTGAACCAGAGTGAACCTATGACACTGTGGGAGCTTGTATTCTGAGGGTCCCAGAGGAGTCATGCATAGAAATATGAGGGCATTTTTCCATGGTGTTTACCCCAGACCTCTGAGTAGCCATCACATAATTCCTAACTTCAGTCACACACTGTGTGATATGCTCCTAAGAAGAAAGAGTTGAGATGGACAATGGTGAGGGAGGACAGAGAGGAAAGAGAAAGAGCTTGGGAGAGATAGAAAAACAAAGAAGAGAAGAGGCAGAAGGGAAAAGGTATGGAGAGAGGAAATTTAAAGAAAAAGCCTCAGGACAGGAGATGTGGGGGAAGATCAAGACATAAAGGGAAATGTCTGCGACAAGAAAAAAATTCTGAAACACCCTAAATTAAATTACAGTGGGCAGGAGAGTAAGAGAAAGAGGCAAGAATAATTAACCAGTTAATGGCTGTGGGCCAATGAGCAAAAGACCACTCACGTTCCTGGGTGTACGTCAGAGCTTTGAATCAGCTCCAGGCATGCATTAGCTCACCACTGGACAGCACCACAACATGAATACGTATGGACTTTCAGGACTATTGCCTTAAGGACTGTGCTCCTATCCTAGAACTGTCCCCCTTCACCTTTTGCCAACCCCCCTAATCTGTAGTCAGTGTAAATTCTTTCAAAACAACTCACATCTTCCTTCCTCAAAACAATGTATAAAAGATCCCTTTAACTCCAAGACAGTGGACATGCTTCTCTTTTCCACTTAGCCCTGCTGCTGGTGGTTTAGACTTTATGCCCCAGGACCTGGTCCTTTTCTGATTACCACATAGCTCAATAAACTCTTTCTTTTAAAAAGGCTGTTACCCACAGAAGTTTGTTTGTTTGTTTGTTTGTTTAACATGCGAGAATTGGGAAAGAAAGGCAACTTGAGAGGACAGGGACATACAGAACAGAATGGCTGGAATGAGGTAGAAGTCGTGTCACCAGGACATACCGATCTTGGACTTGGAGAAGGTTGGAGAAGAGAGCTCAGACGTGGCATCCTTGGCCGTCCTCCTGGCACCTGGAATCTCCCTGCCAAGATCCCCACTCTATTGCCAGCTCCTCAAGGTGAGGCTCTCTTTGTTTCCTGGGAGGAGTGCTCAGTCCCAGGTGGTGAGCCCTGTGAGGGGTGGGGTGCTCTGAATGCCCTGATAATTGTCATTAATAACTGAGGCGCCATCCTTATCTCCACTTGGAAGGACCTGCTGGCTCAGGGTTAGAGGCCCAACCCTAGAGGGATCGTTAAGTAGAACTCAGGAGTCCTAGGGATTTTAGGTGGAGAGGAATCAATCCTGGAACAGAAGGGCCTGCAAAGACAAGAAGCCTTGGATATCAACCCTGAGGAAGTTTAAGACTTACTGAATGGAACAACTGTTCTGTGTAGTCTACAGCCCCAGGGCAATAGCCCTAGGAGTCCTGAGGGCCCTGAGCCCAGAACTGCCTCCATAGGAGACCTGTTTACTCTTAGTCCCTCAGCTTCCTGCCTGCACAGTGGACTGACTCTGTGTTCCTGGAAGGGGATCTGCAGGTGTTCAGTGTCCACCTGCAGCCCCAAGTCACTCTTCTCAGAAAGAAAATGTTTGTGAAGTGTTTGGAAGTTTGAGGTTGGAGAGATGAAAAAAAAAAAAAGCAAGTCCACCAAGATATAACCATAGCAAAATTTACATAGTGTGTATATGGTGTTCATTGTACAATTCTTCCAACTTTTCTATGTTTGACTTTTTTTTCATATAAAATATCAGAAGAGAGAGAAAAAAATGTCTGGTAAATAGCAGGCACTACTAAGTATAAGACATGGACAGTGTAATTCCTTTCTAGGAGAATAGATATTTCAAATGGCAGGAGAGGGCAATGTTATGCATAAGGATGACAGATTGCAGGTGAGAGCACCTGCAAACATTCAATAGATCAGAGAGAACCTAAGGCTACACCCAGAGGTGATTAGTGACTTTGCCCACTGAAAGATACTGGCTTTTTGCTTGGAGATGTTTTCCCAAGTTTATTCTGCTCCTCCTGAGTGGACCCCACCCTGCCACCTGTAACCCCTGTGAGGAGGAACAGGATAAGATGTTCTAGACCCTGCCTGACAACTGACCCTAAGAGATTGATCATGTTTGCCCAGGAGGTGAGGTTCACACGATAAGGAGCAGGGGGAGGGCTTAGGCCTGGTATATAAGACCTGGAAGATTCTGGGGGGTTACTTTGCACCTGAAACTGCCAGGTGAGGGGTGCCAGAGGCCTGGGCTAAGGGTGACAAGGATGCCTGGATTTGAGTTAGGGGTAATTCAAGCTGAGTGGGAGAAGAGTCTGCCTGGATTGGACAGCAGAGGGGAGACCTGGGTGTCAGTTAACTGGGGCACCTGGATCTGAGCTTGATATAGGTACATTGATATCTGGATCTCAGCTGAAGGACTGGAGACGCTTGGGATGCTCAGGGCCAGGGATATGGCCAAATATGTGTTAGTGGAGGAAGAATTATGATGAATAGACCAGGTACCTGGGATCTAATATCTTAAGCTGGTACCAGATCCTAGTCTTTCATTCTGTCCCACCTCCACCAGAACTACTTGGAAACTGGTGTTGGCATAATCTCCTCTATCACTGTCTTCACTCCCCAGGTGACACAGAGACACACCTCTAAAATGCTCTTTTCCTTCTGAGACCAGGGTGAAGGTAGGGATGTAAGCTGTGTCTCAGATGCCCCATAGGCCAAGCCGATCTACCACAGGTGGACTTTAGTTAGGTTTTCTTTGATTCCTGGTTGGTCAACTCAACCATTTCTTGATTTGGAGATTTCCTCTACTTTTTCATTTTATTTTTATTTAAAATTTTTTAAATTTGTTTTTAGGAGAGGGGATGGGAAGGAGAAAGAGAGGGAGAGAAACATCGATCAGTTGCCTCTCGTATGCTCCCCAAACCCAAAACCCAGGCATGTGCCTTGACTGGAAATCACACCAGCGACCTTTTGCTTTGTGGGACTATGCCCAGCTAACTGAGCCACACCAGTCAGGGTTCTATTTTTTCTTTAGGAAACTCCTTTCCTACCTTGTGCCAGGAAGGAACAGGGCTTGACACAGCTTAATCCAGAGAGTCTTAGGACTGATCTTCTGGCTTGGGACAGAAGAGGAAGGTTAACTACAGGCAGACTAGACAGAAGAAGAGAGGTGAAGGACACAACAGTTAGTGTCTGTGAGGAAAAGGACTAGAGACTATGGACAATTCTTTCAAAGCCCAAGGCTATGTGGGCTAGGTCTGACTTGAAGGACCAAGAAGCTGGAGTCTCAACTAGAGGTGAGAGATGCCTGGATAAAAAAAGTCACAAGGAAAAGGGTAAATCTTCACTTTCTCCTTCCTTTCCATTCCAGCTCCAGAATGTTGACAATTGCTCTTCTTGCCCTCCTTTGTGCATCCGCCTCTGCCAATGCCAGTAAGTAAGAAGCCAGGAGCACAGTACCAAGGTCACTGCTGGTGGCCATGACTTTCAGAGGCAGGGTTGGGGTGGTGGGAATTGAGTTGTGGGAGGAATGGGGATGGTAGGGAGAAACTGAGCTCTAAGGGAATTCCTCCTGCCAACTCTTACTTTCCCCTTCAGTTCAGGCTAGGTCCTCCTCCTCCTATAATGGAGAGTATGGAGGCGGTGGCGGAGAACGATTCTCTCATTCTGGCAACCAGATGGACGGCCCCATCACTGCCATCCGTGTCCGAGTCAACAGATACTACATCGTAGGGTAAGATTCTTTGAGTTTCTATGACTTGGGGACCTTCTAGGATCTAATTAGTTGGGAAATTCTGTCACTTTGAGTCACATCCACTTCCGTTAACAAGACCCAGGAATGACATAGTATGTGAAAGTTGTCAGAGGTTTATATTTGAGACCTGCACTGCTGGAACCTCTATAACCCAAACATGAGTGATCTTGGGTAAATCATATACTGTATACTCTCAGGAGCCTAGAAGTTGTCTAGTTTGGCCCCCACCCAAGTTATTTTTATTTATTGGGTTGAGATGGAGGGAGAGAGAGACATCAATTTGTTGTTCCATTTATTTATGCATTCACCGGTTGCTTCTTGTATGTGCCCTGACTGGGGATTAAACCCACAAACTTGGTGTATCAGTTCAATGCTCTAACCAACTGAGCTATCTGGCCAGGGTTTAAATCCCCTCTGGCAACCCCTATCTTTGCATGATGCCTCTCTCAAAACATGTATCCTTCTGATCCTGGATCTGCATCCTGGGACAGCAAAGACAAGTCTTTTTCCCTCATGAGAGCCTTTCAGATACTAAAAAATCGCTTTGCTTCTTTCAGGTATTGGGTGGGGGCACAGTGGGAGTCTAGACCTCAAGCTCAAGCTCTGACACTTACTGTCTGGGTGACTCTGGGCAAGTTGTTTTCCCTCCGTGAGCCTCTTTGTGGTCAACATGAGTTGAATTTCCCTGTATGACCTCCAAGGGCTCACTCAACCCTCACATACTGTGGGACTGGCAGGAGACTTATCATCCCTGTCACTAGCTTGAAGGTCTCAGCATGTAGGCCACGAGGTCCTGAGTTCTGATCACCTTACTCAGTGTCTCCCTTTCTTCCGTCCTCACCTTGTCCCCAGTCTCCAGGTGCGCTATGGCAAGGTGTGGAGTAACTATGTGGGTGGCAGCCAGGGAGACCTGGAGGAGATCTTCCTGCATCCTGGGGAATCAGTGATCCAGGTGTCTGGCAAGTACAAGTACTACCTGAGGAAGCTGGTCTTCGTGACTGACAAGGGCCGCTACCTGCCTTTTGGGAAAGACACAGGCACAAGTTTCAATGCTGTCCCCTTGTACCCCAACACCGTGCTTCGATTCATCAGTGGCCGAGCTGGCTCCCTTATAAATGCCATTGGTCTGCACTGGGACACCTACCCCAGTGATTGCAGCAGCTGCTGAGCCCCAGCCTCCTCCTAGGCAGAGGCAATGCCGTGGGGGGTGTGAGAACCACCTCACACTGACACCATCCACAGCGCTCAATTAAAAAAATAAAAGGACATGGCTGAAGCTAGTGCGTGCGTGGGTGTCTGCAACTGGGGTCCACCTCCTGACTCCGGGTGTGGATGTGTGAATCTCATCCTTGGCTGTCTGTAGCATTTCAATCTGGGGAAGTATGAGTATGGGAGGATGAGGGAAAGGTGTTAAAGTGTTTGGCTTTTCTTCATTATTTATCAAAAGGAGATAAACTTTTGACTTGCACCAATTCATTTTTCAAGGGTAGCTCCTGAAAGTGTTTACCCAAATTGGAGTTCTGAGGCTGCGAGTATGGCCTCCTTGTGACCTACTGCCAAAACCCAACATTTTCCACTCTTCTCTCCCCTTCTCCAGCCCTTCTCTTCCCTCCCCTTGAGAAAGCACCTCTTCACCAAGGCTGCCACCTCACTCTCTTGACCTTAACCCACTCATTGCATGCGGGTGGCCTAGACCATTATCTGTTGTTCTTTCCCAGAACCCACCTGACTCCCACAGTTTAGCCTAATGTATCAAGGGCTCTGCCTATTATCCCAGCCTAGTTCCTCCCCACCTTTACCCATAAGCACTGGTGTCCTTGCTTAGCTCTCTCAGAACTGGGGTTCCCTCCTTAGGAAGCCACCGCTTCCTCACAGCTTCTATGCTGCCAATACCATCCTCAAAAAAAGAGCATTCCAGCCCTGGCCAGATAGCTCAGTTGGTTAAAGTGTCATCCTGATATGCCAAGGTTGTGGGTTCAATCTCCAGTGAGGGCATGTACAAAAATCAACCAATGAACATATAAATGAGAACAAATCGATGTTTCTCTCTCCCTCCCTTCCTCTTCCTCTAAAATCAATAACTAAAAAACCCAAAAAATTTAAAAAATGTCATTCCTGCCTTGGTTGATTTGTTTCTCTTGAACAAATCAGTGGACTGAACACCAGCCTGCAAACTGAAAGGTCACTGGTTCAATTCCCAGTCAGGGCACTTGCCTGGGTTACAGGCCAAGTCTCCAGTTTGGGGCATGTGAGAGGCAACCTACTGATGTTTCTCTCACACATCACATGTCAATGTTTCTTTCCCTCTCTTTCTCCCTCCCTTACCTCTCTAAAAAATAAATAATTTTTTTTTCAAAAATGGGGGCATTCCAAAGTGGGGGAGATTTCCATTGTGGGTTTCTATGGCCATAGGTAAGGGATTGGTTAGAGTTCAGGGGAAGCATTAGAGGGACTGGGTAGATGCAGCAATATAAACCCGCTATGAAAATAATTCTTGGGATTCTAGTTCCCAGTCCTAAAATGTTTCTTCCCAATTAGACAAAGATAACAGTTGTGTACATGTAATTTCATAGAGAAATATTAACATTATAGAAACTCATGACTAGCCTATTTTTATAACAATCCTTTTCTCTTAATCAATTCCATGGAATGGAATACTATGCCACTATAATTCTCTTTATTGAGATGTAAATAATATAAAATTAATTTCAGTGGTTTTTAGTATATTCACAGATTGAACCATCACAGCTCTCTAATTCCATAACACTTTCATCACCTCAAAAAGAAACTCATACCCTTTAAGCAGGCACTCATTCTCCTCTCCTAGTAACCACTCATTTACTCTCTGTCTCTAGGGATTTGCCTATCTCAGACATTTCATACAGATGGAATCTTACAATAACGCAGCCTTCTGTGTCTAGCTTCTTCCATTTCACATGTGTTCAAGATCCATTCATGTGTGGCATGTACCAGCACTACAATCCTTTTTAAGGCAGAATTTGACAGATTTTTGACAGATCAGATGTCTGGTCAAGTTTAGGATGGCCTTTAAACCAGTGGTTTTCACACTGTGCCCAGTGAAGGTGCTGGCACCTAAGAGGCAGCCACAGCAGAAAAGGACTAAGTGATGGGATTCTTGGCTGTTGTCTAGTCTACATATTAGAATTTTGCAGATTTTATATAAAGAAAACTTTCCTTAATAGTTTTTTTTTCCATTTTGTATTTGCCTCGGCATAATCCTTTTATTTATTTAATTGGGGGGGCATATATTTATTTTTTTACTTAAAAAAAAATCATGTTTATTCTATTTCAGTTGTCTCAATTTTTCCCCCTTTGCCCTCCTCCACTCATTCCACCCCACCCCCTTTTCCCACAGTCAATTCCCACTCTGTTGTCCATGTCCCTGGGTCATTCGTGTATGTTCTTTGTCTAGTCCCTTCCCCTTCTTTCCACCATTGTCCCCCTTCCCCATCCCCTCTGGTCACTTTCAGTCTGCTCCATGTTTCCATGCCTATGGTTTACTTTGTTGAATAGCTTCCACTTACAGGTGAGATCATACGGTATTTGTCTTTCACTGACTGGCTTATTTCACTTAGCATAATATTCTCCAGTTCCATCCATGTTGTCACAAAAGGTAGGAGTTCCTTCCTTCTTTCTTTTTTTTAAATGCAGATTGATTTTATTTATTTTGTTAAACGTCAAAATCCATTATAAAATATTTAAAAATTTAAATCCATTATAAAGTCTGAGTAATTAAAACAACATGACACCAGCACAGAAATAATCAAGTAGGTCAATGAAATAAAATGAGCATTCTAGAAACAAATGGATATATCTAACAATGTAATATATGATTAAATAGATATTTAAAATCAATGGGAAAAATAAGCCTTATTCAACAAATAAGGTGCATGGATGATTAGTACTTGAAATAAAACAAATATAGAGACCTATTTCACATAATATACAAATTATGTATATGTAAAAAAATATTATACAAAAAATATTCACGTGAGTTAAAAATCAATATGTAAAATCTAAGGAGTTTTAGGAGAAAATACAAAATAATATTTTTCTTATCCTGAAGCAAAATATTCAAACCCAGAAGCTATAAAGTAAAATGTTGACAATATTAGTATATTAACATTTAAGACTATATAGTAATATGCATATTAAAAAGTTAAAGGACAAGTAATAAAATAGGAAAGTATTTGCAACACATCTAAAAAAGGATTAATAGCTTTTTTAGGGAAAAAATTCTACAAACATTTAGTCAAAAAATGGATAAAGAATGCCAAAAAGTCATTTAAAGCTTTTTAAAAATAATAGAAATAGGCAAGAAATATACTAAAACAGGTTTAGTTTCAACTAATAATAAAGAATTAAAATATCACATCATTGTCACAATCAGATTAATAAGTATTAAAAATATTGGTAATATCAAGTATTGGTGGCTGTGAAAGGAACTGGGTATTCATAGGCTCTTTTCTTCATCTTCTTAAAGCAGTCCCTTTAGCATATCTTGCAATGCTGGTTTGGTAGAGGTGTATTCTTTTAGCCTTCTTTTGTCTGGGAAACTCCTTATTTCACCTTCCATTTTTATTGAGAGCCTTGCTGGGTAAAGCAGTCTTTGTTGCAGGCCTTTGCTTTTCATTACTTGGAATATTTCTTGCCACTCACTTCTGGCTTGCAGTGTTTCTGTTGAGAAGTCAGCTGCTAGCTGTATAGGGGCTCCTTTGTATGATACTTCCTGTTTCTCCCTTGCTGCCTTTAGGATTCTCTCTTTGTCTTTGATATTTGCAATTTTAATTATGATATGTCTTGGAGTGGGCCTCATTGGGTTCTTCTTGAATGGGGCCCTCTGTGTTTCCTGGACTTGTATGACTTTTTCTCTCCTCAGATTAGGGAAGTTTTCCATCATTACTTTTTCATACAGGTTCTCTATCCCTTCCTCCTCCTCTTCTCCTGGTATCCCTATTTTATGGGTATTATTATGTTTCATGTTGTCCTGCATTTCTCTAAACATCTCTTCATTCTTTTTTAGTCTTTTTGCATTTTCTTGCTCTTTCTGGGGGCTTTTTTCTACTTTACCCTCCAGCTCGCTGATTCGATCCTCTGCTTCATCAAGCCTGCTTTTGATTCCTTCTATTGTGTTCTTCAATTCAGAAATTGTATTCTTCACTTCCTCTTTTTTCTTATTGATAGTTTCTATGTCCTTTTTCATGCTGATATAGTTTGCAGTACGTTCCTTGTAGTTTCCTGTAGTTTTCTGTAATTCTCTCTGAGCTCACTGAGCTCATTGAGCTTCCTTAGAACCATTGTTTTGAACTCAATATCTGATTGTTTACTTACCTCTATTTCATTTAGCTCTCTCTCTGGGGATTCTTCCTTTCCCTTCAATTGGGGAGTGTTTCTTTTTCTTCCCATTATTTGTGAGATTCTTTTTTGCTTCTGTTTCTTAAATTGGTCTGTCTTGATTTCCTGACTTTATTGTGTGAACTTCTATGGTAGTAGACTACTGATATTTCTTTCTGGACCTGCCTCTCATAATGCAGATGTTGACCCTGTCTGACCTTAAGCAGTATGTTCAAGATTTCCAGGAATTTACTGTCTGTGGCTGTCTCCTTCAGTTCTTAATATAGTCACTCTGCAGGCTTAGGCACCACAGGGCAAGGCTATTGTGTCCTCTCACACTACTGCCGCTCAGGGGAGTGGCTGTCTGAGCCAGATGATTGCAGTTAGGTTGTGCTAATGCTGATTCTTCAGTCTGTCCAAGGTTATAAGGCTTCTCTCTTGCTGTTGTTCAGTTGTTGGTTCCAGGTGATTTGTCCACAATTTAGTTGTAATTCCAGATTAGTTCTGGGAGGAGGTCAGTGTGACTTCCATTCACTCCTCCACCGTCTTGATTTCTCCCCCGAATAGTTTTTTAGTGGAATCTTTTTAAAAAAGATTTTATTTACTTATCTTTAGAGAGAGGGGAAGTGTAATGGTGGGAGAAAGAGAGGGAGAGAAAAATCGATCAGTTACCTTTCACATGCCCCTACACAAGGGACCTGGCCTGCAACTCAGGCACATGCCCTGATTGGGAATCAAACTGGCGACCTCTTGGTTCACAGGCCAGCAGTCAATCCACTGAGCCAGACCATCCAGGGAAGTTTTTTAATTACTGAACTGAGCTAATCACACATTTATGAAACATTTCCTGCTAGGTGCTACGAACATAAAGACTATTGAAGATTTCTTTCTTTTTTTCTAGTCAAATGGTT